TACTTCACTAACAGCATGTTTGAGGAGTCAGAGATGTCAATTAAAAAGAGAATGGAGGAAATACTGAAAGAAAGAGAAAGAGATTGAGGCACAAAATGAGGCATTAAAAGCCAAATATGAGCTGGAAAAGAAAAACCTGATGAAGAGACTCGAGGAGGAGAAACAGAGAGCAGATGAAGAGAGAATGAAAATGGAGAATCAACTAAAAGAAAAAGAGGAAAAACTCAGAAAAGAGTTTGAAGAGAAAGAGAAAACGGAGCAGAAGAAACGAGAGATTGAAAACCAGAAACGATCAGAAGAGGAAAAACAGCAAAGAGACGAATATCATAGCAAAATCGAAAAGATGAAGCAAGAGACTGAAAACCAGAGAACACCGTATGAAAAACAGCAAAAACAAAGAGAAGAAGAAGATAGAAAGAGGGAAGAAAAATACAGACAAGATCAAGAAACGATGAAAAATGAGCAAAAACGCATTATTGCAGAATTACAGATGAATCAAGAAGAGGAAATGAAAAAGAGAGATTTGGAGGAAAAAAGGAGGAATGAAGAAGAAGAGAAAGAGAGACAAGAATGGGTGAGAAAAATAAAAGAGGCTGAAAATGACAGAAAAGGGATTCAAGAGGAAATTAAACGACAGCAGAGAGAATGGGAGGATGAAAAGAAACGACAGATGAGAGAACGCGAGGAAGAGGAAAGAAAGAGAAAAGAGAAACACGAGGAACAACTGAGAGAAAAACAAGAAGAACTGGAGAAAATGAGAAAGAGATTTGAAAGAGAGAGAGAAGAAGAGCGACAGAAGATCGAGGAGGAGAGACAGAAACAGAGAAGAGAGAGAGAAGAAAAGGAGAGAGAATATAAAGACAAAAAAAACGAAATGGACAGACATTATGAAAGACTGGAACGAGAGAGAAAAGAGGAGTGGGAGAGAAGAAAACGAGATGATGATGAGAGACGAGAGGAAGAGAGTAAGAGATGGGAGAAAATGCATGATGATCTGAAACGAGAGCAAGAAGATGAGATCAAGAGAAGAGAAAAGGAGGAGAAGGAGAGGAAAGAAAGAGAAGAGAAAGTGCGAGACGAAATAAAAAAGGAATATGAAGAGAAAATAAAAGTCATAAAGAAGAAACATGAGGCTGAAGCCAGAAAACAAGCAGAAGAACTGAATGATTTCAGAGAGAGAAAAGAGCAGCACGTTCAGGAGCTCAGTGAGATGCTGGAAGAACGTCAGAAACAACAGGAATTACTGGAGAAACTCTATCAGCACCTGCAGGAGCAGAAAGGAGCTGAAATAAAGGAGCTGCAACAAGAAGTTGAAAAACTGAAAATTAAAACAAGCGGCTGTGTCATTCTGTGATTGTTTTCAAGGCATAAATACGAGTGTCAAACAACAATATGAATGCCTTATGTTTCATTTTCTGTTTCATGCATACTTATATATAAATATTTAAAGGGGTCATGTGATGTTGCTAAAAAGAACATTATTTTGTGTATTTGGTGTAATGAAATGTGTTTATGCGGTTTAAAGTTAAAAAACACATTATTTTCCACATACTGTACATTATTGTTTCTCCTCTATGCCCCGCCTTTCTGAAACGCGTAGATTTTTACAAAGCTCATCGGTCTGAAAAGCAAGGTGTGCTGTGATTGGCCAGCTATCTAGTGCATTGTGATTGGCCGAATACTTCAAGCGTGTGACGGAAATGTTACGCCCCTCACCATACTGTGATGCCGTGTGTCCAGGCTGGAGCGACGAGTTGTGATGGGAAGTTCGGATCATTTTACCGACTCGGACATTTGAGTTTCGTTCAGCAAAATTAACGAATCCTTTTTCGAGTCATTTTGTTCATTTTAGCAAAATATAATGAAAATGTTACGTGTTACTTCCCTAACATGTCTACTACTTACGCAAACGTTGATCACACTACAAACAATACAAACGTGCTATAAGAAACAGAAAAGATTAATTCATTGTTTACCTGGGTCTTCAGTCTATGATTAGCTCACCTCACTTCGGGTTTGAGTCGTTTGTTCATCACGTGACAGACCCATAAGCTTAACCTATGCAGTCTGAGCCGGAAAGAGAATTGATTAGTTCATCTCTCGAGTCTTCAGGTTTTTCGAGTCGTTCGTTCATCATGTGACAGCCCCATAAGCTTAACCAATGCAGTCTGAGCCGGAAAGATAATTGATTAGTTCATCTCTCGAGTCTTCGGGTTTGAGTCGTTCGTTCATCACGTGACAGCCCCATAA